TAGATAGATAGATAGATAGATAGATAGATAGATAGATAGATAGATAGATAGATAGTTTACACACCCTTGTTAAATAAAGATTTTTGTGATTTTTTAAAAAATTTTTATTTTTTGAAGACCAAGATCAATGATTTCAGAACTTTTTCCACCTTTAATGTTAGCTATAATCTGTACAACTCAATTAAAAAACTAATCTTTTTGGGGGGAATGTAAAAATAAAAAACTAAAAACAGATGGTTGCATAAGTGCAACCCTTAAAAAMCCTTAAACTACTTTGTTGAAGAACCTTTATCACAGTACAGTCTTTAGGTAGGCGTCTACCACCATGGCACATTTTGATTTGGCAATATTTGCCCACTCTTCTTTGCAGTGACCCTCCAAATCTGTCAGATTATGAGAGCATCTCCTGTGCACAGCCCTCCTCAGATCACACGATACAGGTCTGGACTCTGGCTGGGCCATTCCAAAACTTGAATCTTCTTCTTCTTGTGAATCCATTCTTTTGTTGATTTGGATGTGTGTTTTGGGTCACTGTCATTCTGAAAGACAACATTTCATTTTATCTTCAGTTTTCTAGTTTTCTAGGATTCAGCTTTCTGGAGGTTTTGTGCAAAGATTGACTGGTATCCATGTTGACAAAGGCCCCAGTCCCAGCTGAGGAAAATCAGCCCTAAAGCATGATGCTGCCACCACCATGTCTTACTGTGGGTATGGTGTTCTTCTGGTGATGCAGTGTTGGGTTTGTACCAAACATACTTTACAGATTAATGGCCAAAAAGTTCATCAGACCAATGACACCTTTTCCCACTTCATTGGGAGACCTCAAGTATGTTTTTGCTAAATTAAGCCGGGCTTAGATGTTTTTTGTAAGAAGAGGCTTCCATCATGCACCCCTAACCCAGATCCCAGACATATTAAGAAAATACAAGATAGTTGTGACATGTACTACACAAYCAGTACTTGGGGGGAAATAATCCTGTAGCTCCTTTAATGTTGCTGTAGGCCTCTTGGCATTTTCTTTGACCAGTTTACTTTTTGACTTTTCATCAATGTTGGATGTGCGTCTTCTTGGTAATGTCCCTGTTGACACGTTCTGTCTAATGCCTTGGAAATATGAGAAAAACAACCATTCACTCTCTCACTCACATCTAGGGACAATTTAGAGTTATCAATTAACCTAACAGTCATGTTTTTGTTGTGTGGGAGGAAGCAGGAGTAAAGAACCCACGCATGCACGGAGAGAACATGCAAACTACCCAGAAACAGGGGTGTAGCACTAAATCCTGGGCCCTGTACACTCTCAATGTCAGTGGACCTCTAGCCATGCCAGTGCACGAGGTGCATAAGTTAAAGGGGGGGGGGGGGGTATTATTTTAAATAAAGAAGCAACTAGGGTTTTAAGCTACAATCATATCAGATTATATTGATGAGTGGTTCTTTCATTCACCAGCTGAATTGATGCATTTGGCCTACCTGTGTTCAAATACCTAAAAAACTTTATGCTACATCTGGTTTGTGTACTAATGTTGTGATCCATGACACTATAGCAAAATTTGATTTAAAAACATTTGTTCTTAAACTTTAGACAAACATTTGGTCCATGATGTGTGCTCAGTTTAACTGTCTGCACACATCATAAAATGAACACCAAATGTTTCTTTTGTGATGCAATAATAGTCAAACCATATTAACTGAGATTATGCTCACCTTTATTAAACCATGTACTGTACCAGTCCTTTAAACTCACTGAGAATACAGTTTGACAACCAGCCATAGTTTCATACAGAGACACACAGGTGGAGCACTACAGGTATATTTATCCTCTCTAACAGGGGCATCAGAAAACTTGTAATGTGTGTAAAGGACACACTGGATGGGGGGATCCTCCCCCAGAAAATTTTTGAATAAAGTAGAAGCAATATCCTAATTTCTAGTGTATTTTAACAGGTTGTTAAAGATACTTTTACTTACACAAATAAAGACTTAGAGACAACTTGAGACAGATTCTTCATTAAACTAGTTGCATCCTTTTGTTTTTAAACTCACTTATGGCTCAGATATTAATGTGATAATTTCTCAAACAGGCTTAGAGGAGGTTTTTACATTTATTTTGTTTATTATTGATTTAATCTTATTTATAACAACATATTGTACCAAACAATGATGACACACAACTGCATGTTTCGAAGTAAAAGCATTAATAACTTTACCCAGTGAACAGGTGTAATTTTAACAACCAGTGAATTTAGGGTGTTTGTGTCAGGTTTAAACATAGAATGACCCAGGGCACAGGCAGAGTTGCGATGTAACAAAAAATAAAGTCTTTATTAAATCAAAAAAGCTGACGAGGCAGCTGGAAAAACTCTAAGGTGACATGGCAAAAAACTCTTGGAACATGAAAAACAAGACACACTTTGCAGCATAATGATCAGACACTGACACAGAGACAAGGCAGAGCTTAAATACACAGGATAACTAATRAGTTAACAGAAAACACCTGAGGAAATGGAAGCAACACTAATCACAGAACTGAACACACCTGAGACAAAAAGGAACTTAACAGAAAACCCACATGAACAAAACCCCAAAACAGGACCTAAAAAACCTAACCATAATACAAAAACAGCAACCAAAAAACCCAAACTATGACAGTTTGACTTTTTTCTGATTTGATGACAGGTCCACTCATAAACTGACATGACATAATGCAGCTTTTTTCACAACATAAAATAACACTGTGTTGTCAATGGAGACGTAAAAATTAACTTGTGTCAGTTTCATCAACCTGCATGTAAATTAGGAACAATTGATGCATGGATATTTGGAACTGATTAGAAAGCTAATGATGGATGGATTGACAGATTTATTTACTGAGCTTTATTTAACTGGGAAAATCCCAGTTATGAAAACTAATTTCTACCACTTCCTAGAAATGAAAGTAATAAGCCTATCACTTTTATACTGGTCAAAATAAAATAAATTGTTAATCATGCTGTAGATTATGTCTTTAGATCAGTAATTTATTTCATTAAGTTCACACAACTGAATAGAATGTACTCAGAATAACATTTTATATTTACTTCACACCTACCCATCACCTTCATCACCTTCATCTGTTACCTGAGACACTCTGTCCTACCTGAGACACACNTTTGTTCTTTGAGCAAAGTGATGTTCACGCACGTCTCATTTTTTACACCAGTAAAAAGAAAACATATACCTATGTCTTGAATTTGGAAAAAAAAAAGTCAATAAAAAGGGTTCAGTGAATGCGCATACGAAACTGGTGGGTTTGGTACCTCAAAAAAGGTTAAGAATCACTGTCCTACAGGCTCTGACATGTTAGATAAATTTGAAAATGAGGTTTTGAAAAAATCCGTAAGACTTGAAAAAAAATCCATGAGATTTCTCTGTACGTCCGTATACCTGCAAAATGATGTCAAATCCTTATAACTTACAGACAATCTGTACAAAATAACATGGATGTTATTCATTTGCTTTCCCAGAAAGAAAATAAATCTAAGTTTGCCATAGTACCTGACACTGTCAAACTTGTTTTTAGGGGTTCAAATTGAGGTGGGTGGGACATATTTCATTCACAGTGGGGGGGGGGCTTCAACTCGCCTAGGGTACCAAAATGGCTAGAGCCAGCACTGAAAAACAGCTGATCTTTCACTCTCTGCTTTTCACCGCTTAAACTCTAA